AGCCCAGCAACGCCCAGCGAGGTCTGGGGGAGGTCTGGGCAAGGCACGGGGAGGGCTGCGTGAGGCCCAGGGAGGGCTAGGTGGGGCCTGGGGAAGGCTCGGCAAGGCCCGGGGATGGCTGGGTGAGGCCCGGGGAAAGACTCACTCTCCCAGATGGAGCAGCAGGTGAGAGAAGCAGACGATGACCTGGCCAGAGCCAATAGGAGCCTCTCCATGTGTTCCCCAGTGGAAGGCAAATGGTGGGGGGGAAGGTGACCAGCAGCAGCAGCAAAATGCAAGTGGTGGGGGGAGGGGCAAAACAAAAGGCAAGTGGTGGGGAAGGGGAAAGGTGACCGGGGCTTGCACTCACCCAGGGAGATCATCGGATCAAGCAGGGCTGCAGCAAAAGGCAGACAGCAATGGCTGGGTGGGTGGGTAGGCAAAAGGCTGCAGGCATGTCATGCATGTGCATGATGTTGCACGTGTGTGATAGGGACTGATTGGGCAGGGAGCAGAGAAGTGGACGGAGAGGGGCAAGGCCAGCCAGAGGCCCGATTTACCAGTTCTCCAAACTACGGAGAATCATAACAACTGGTTCTACCGAACCAGTCCGAACCGATAGAATCCCACCCCTGCTTAAAACTATTGTCCAACAAGTCCAAAAATTTCGATCACAGAGCCCCAAAATAAGATAAAAATTGCCCCACTCCCGAGATCAGTAGTCAGCTGTCCCAGAACCAATTGCTATGTCACTTAGCTTCTGATTCCTAAATAAATGGAGACCTCCTATCCTGCAGCCTGCTTCCAATTCATTTTTCCCTGCATCTTTCTCCTGGCTTGGAATCAGACCAGATTTTACTTTCAATAAAGAGATGGGGGCAGGGTGATCAAGAGATTTAATTAGTCATTTGGGGGAAGACTCAGGTCTTTTCAAATAATTAATTTAATTCAGATAATTAAAAACCCAATTTTAGGTAAAGAAGCAAGTATATATGGTTCGCCTTTCCACATATAATTGCTCTCTTATTATAAACTAAGGGATTATGGAAATCAGAGTTCACATCTGAAAGTCGCAAGATTAGGTATGTGTAGGCAAATACATATAACAGATGTTTACCTTTTCACAATCACTACCACTACTCTTTTACATGCCTCATTCATGTAAAAGAAAATTCACCATATTTTCCTATAGATAAGGAGAGTATGAAATGATCCATAAAATAACTTTTATTGTGCTTTGCAGTCTTTTATGAGTAAAACATTAACAAAACTAAGATACTCTTATTGAAATGTGGAAGATTAAGGTACCATAAATTAAAATTCACCCATCATAGAGATATAGAAATTGCAGTGGACGCTGGTAGTTTTTATCTGGTCATAGGGAGTTATGGATTCCTGTATGTTAGGGTATATTAATGTTCAGTTGTGTTGTTTTGTGTCCATGTCCTATCTCAAGTGCCACTTTGGCTGTGGACACAGCATTATCAAAATGTTTAGTTAATGAAGACTTTGGAATTGTGCATTTGAAAGAAACAAGACTTAGAAAGAGCTATAGTGATGATAATGGTGGTGATTTAGCTTAAGTCTCATTCCTAATGGCTCAACAGTTGCTAAGAATTGTCTAAAAGAATGCAATAAACAACATGTCAATAATGCCCTGAATTTTAATAGATTAAAATCTTCCTATCTACTTAACCTTTCCTTTAAAATTTCATTGTTAATGTGTATTGTACACTACGCAATACTATCAACAAATTTGGAAATTCAGAGATTTCTCTTTTACTTATGCCTTTTTACCCTGATCTAAAATGGTGCTTTGTTCAGTGTATCTCTAATGATATGTGACTTTGGGAGACAGGAAGAAGAATTAAAACCCAGGCAGCACTCCAATAAACAAAATTTAAGATTGACAAAGGAGGGGTGACAAAAGCATTTCAGAAAAGACCCTGTCTAGTTTTGGGGACAATAAAAGAAAGGAACAGGAATAGTATTTTCAGACTTGCAAGAGTTTGCTAATGTAACCTTACAATAGAGATAAAGCTAATACTGCTGGGCATGCTTCCTCTTCTGGATTGCCTTGCAAAACTTGCAGTATGTACATTATCTTCAGTACATGCTCTGGGCACTGTGGGAAATGCCTAAGTAGTCTTATTCCTGAAAAAATAAATACAAAAAGACAAAAATGAACTAAAAAGAAAAAAAGCATTTTGAGATGAGCTGAATATGTAAATTTTTGCTTTTCTTTCTCCATTCTTTTGTTGCAATTATCTGGAAACCAACCTTGTTCTTTAACAGGAATATGCAAAATCTTCTGGAGGATGTTTGGACAACTTAAAGAATATTCATAATGATTCTTAAACTTCCCATGGCAGCATCAAAATGAAAATTTCTCCTAATTTCTGAAAATCATTCTTTTATGAAGTTGTGTAATATTGTATTTCTATCAATGATTAGAAATTAATTCATAATTTTGCATATCAATGAAAAAAATTGCTCACTATCTCTACCAATTCTGTCTCACACAGAATAACTCAGTTATGTCCTCATATTCAAATAGTTCTTTTTCATTTTTTTTTTTTGTCATTTTCATGTCACTTCTGGTTGATCATTTGATAATGAGGATCTATCAATTACTTTTTTTATTTTTTGCTAAATAATATTTATGTCAACTCTGAAGCAAACTTGGATGAAGCCATCTTTTCCCGCATCATAGTTTCAAACTTTGAAAGGGGGAAAGGAGGGGGGAAGTAGATAGACCGGCTACCAATCAAACAAAAAGTTTTCTTGTGGGAGCAAGGTCATCCCAACAGGTGCAAGTGAAGGAGGAGAGGAGTGACCAAGCAGCCTTCCAGTTACTTTCATTGGATAATGTGACTGGTGACATATGTGGGGGGAAATATTTGTTCTTTTAATTAGGGAAAAGTCTTTTAGAGTTGGTTTTCACTAGATGTGTCAATATGATGTATCCAATAAACATGTTCTTTGAGGAATCTACCTGCCTCAGAGTTCTGCTTTTGGTGGATGCTTCATTTGGAAAGCTGACATTAAACTAACTCTAAAAGTTCCCACCGTTTTCCCCTAATTGAAAGAGCAATAAATAAATGGAAGAATTATGTTTAATGTGTGTAAGATATATTTGGTCTGAGATGATAGAGATGATATAGATAGATAGATAGATAGATAGATAGATAGATAGATAGATAGATAGATAGATAGATGATAGATAGATGACAGACAGACAGAAAGATGTAAGTTGGCACGTAGGTAGATAGATAGGTGGGTAGGGAGGGAGAGAGAGAGAGAGAGATTTAATTAACATTTAAATTTAAATAACAGTGTCTATGTTACTTAAATTAGGCACCAAATGATCCATAAGTATCATCCTTGAATTTGGCCACCCTTGACCTTTCCAATGTCTTTCCACTAGCCTGGGTCAGTTATTTCTAGTGCTAACCTAGCAGCTCATCCCTAAACTTCCCAGCACTTTTCCAGGGCTACTACCAATATTGTTATTACCTTCCTTCCATCATTTTACCATTACTGTTGATAATGTTCCTGCTGATCCACTTCTCTTCAACTATATGTTTTATAGCTATAAAATATTGTTTTTTTATTCAAATTAATGTATGGTTTAAAAAAAACCTTTAAAATTTAACAGTGTAACAATATTTGCAGATTTAAAACAGTGCTCTAATCCCTTCTAGTCAGGGGTGGGATTCAAATTTTTTAGCAACCGGTTCTGTGGGCATGGCTTAGTTGGTGGGTGTGGCTTGGTACTCATGTTATTGGCTGGGCATGGCCAACTCAATATCACTCACATCGAGGCATGCATCTCCTCACCTAGCCTCTCATGACTGTGGGTATGCTGTAACAGTTGTATGAAAAATGGTCATAAGTCACTTTTTCAGTGCCATTGTAACTTTGAATGGTCACTCCACACAAACAAAGTACCAGCAAAGGAGGGGGAAAAATTCCAGAGAAGTTCCTGATACAGGAAGTCTAGTCCTGCCAAGAATGTAATAAGGGTTAACAGAGAGGCAGTTTCTGTAAGCAACACCAGAATGTTTCCTTCCTGCCTTCTTTACAGGATTAGGACAGTAATTTCTTCTAACAACCGGTTCTCCGAACTGCTTAGAATGTTAACAACCGGTTCTAGCGAATAGGTGCGAACTGGTAGAATCCCACCCCTGCTTCTAGTCATAGGAATATATCCTTATGCCAGGGGTCAGCAACCTGCAGCTCTGGAGCCACATGTGGCTCTTTCATCCCTCTGCTGTGGCTCCCTGTTGCCGGTCAGCTTCACAATTAATAGGGCTTTTGGTTAGAATAGATAGAGGAAAAAGCACACCGTGCTATGAGGAGACTCTATGGAAGGGAAACTGCCATAGAGTCTGGTCGGCTCCAGAATTGAAGAGGGGCTTCCAGTTAGGACCTTTGTGGCTCTTTGAGTGTTTAAGGTTGTCGACCCCTCCCTTATGCTCAATTATGTGGTCATGAGAGAATGTGTGATTTTGCATTGGAAAGCAAATAAAGAGCAACAAAGCAAGGGAAGTTCTGTTTATTCTAGCATGAATAATTTTCTCAGAATTTTCACATTTACAGCACAAAATCAAATAACTAGAGGCCATAACATGCTTAGAAAATGATTTGACTAAATTTTGAATGTACTGGCATAATGTCTTTTCTATAGTGCTAATATCTAGACAAATAGAATCAAATCAATATTGAGTCATATGTAGAGAGGACTCATTGTGGTCAATTCAGCTGATCATGACAAATTTAAGTCTCACTGATTACAATAATACTACTTTTGGATGTATCTGAATCTGACCCATGGGTGATATTTTTCTTATTTAATACAGAAATAATTCAAATTAACAAATGGTTCATGTGTTAAATTGCAAACATTTTTTAGAAAGGGATAGCAACATTTGCAATGATAAAATTATTTAAAAATGAATAAAATACTTCTGATATATCCACATTCTTGAAAATTCTATATATGTTTGCAAAATATATAATGTATAGTTTTACAGACAAATTTACATCAAATACATATATTTTAAACACCAATTTGTAAAGGATGCCAACATTTTTTTTGTACAGAAAATCATATTTCTGTACAAGGACTTGATTTTCATTTAAGCAAAGTTGCACAATCTTTAAGAGGAATATTCATATTCTTCAGCACTGCGACGTCCAAAATCCATCCAGCCCATATAGTCTCTGTCCCTTATCCTGTGGGTAGGGTCAAAATTCTGTAATCCCATCACGGAGACCTTTCCAGTAGAACCTAAATATTGGACAACATACAAATAAGCAGAGTCATTTTTAATAATATGAATTCTTTGATATTTAAACCAAGTATAGAACATTAAATGTTGTAAAATCAATATCCTGTGATAGTGAACATTATCACCCTAGATCATACCGAAATTTGCATTTTATCATTTATTGTGATATATCACTAATTTCAGTCAGTTTAAACATTTTAAAGTAACAGTTCCAATATATCTATCTCTATCTCTAATCTATCATCTATCTATCTGGATCATTTTAAAAATTTAGTCTCCTAGTAGTAGCAACAATGGACATATTCATTATGTTGTCACCTCTACTACATCCAGAAAAAAGAAAAGACAAAAACCCAGGATGGTACTGAAACAAATCATATTGAAAACAAAAAGACAGTTAGTTTCTGATTGTACTTGTAAGCTTAGTTCTGGTGCTAATCAAAAAATTCATGGCTAAATATATAGCACCTTTTCCTTTAAAACTTTATTAGCCCAGCTTGAACCATTATTTTGACACTGTTTGATAGTGACTTACTAGTTTGATATCAGGTTTCAAATTGATAGAGAGACACAAACAGACAAAGAGCAGATTCTGAAACACTGAAGTCTGTCCATCCTGATCCCCAAATAACCCATTAAACCTATATAAAGGCATATTGGTCTATTGCCTGTCAATTGGAATTTTATCTCTAAAGGTAATGTAGAGATCTCTTGTCAAGGTTGAAGAAAATAGGGCAGAACTGTTCATCTGCTGCCTGATTGGTTTTTTTTTTAAAAAAAACTACCAGTATTAATTTAATTTGATAAATGAGCATTTGCTTTCAAAATTTCTTCTCCTCCTTCAAAAGAAAAGAAGATTTATTTCTGAGAAATTGTCTTGAAATGGGAGATAACTGAAAGGTACATGTGAATAACCTAGAATGATCTCTCCATTAATCTTCAGCCTCCCTGGCTCCCTAATAAAAGAACTCCTACCATCTGGCTCTTTAGTAGCTGCTATGATTGGTAAGAGTGATTGCCATGAAGAAATTGACAGAGAATGTCTCTTTTCCAAGAGACAGATATTTTTGATTCAATTTCTTTTAAACATTAGAAAACTTCAAAAGGTCATTGTATGCTTTATTCCATGTTGGATTCCATTCCCTAGTCATAATTAGCTAATTCAGGAAATAGTCTAAGAATGGGCAATCTATAATTTTCTAGATATTGATGGATTGCACTCTTCTTCCTTTTGAACTTTGCCCTTCTGCCTAGAACTTAGGAGACCAGATCTTAATAAAGTTGGTAGAGAATAACTGCAATCTCTGTTAGAAGATTTTTAGTAATCACTTTAATAATTCAATATTATCTTTATCTTTGATTAATTTATCAAAGCACTATTTTATCAACTATATTATTTAGTCACCAAGGCTTACCAAATGCTTGCTGCCACAGAGATACTGAAATGCAGATTTTGACATATGTTCTAAACGACATGGTCTTGAGATCTTAGTCACCTTAGCACAGAGCAAATGAAAATAAAAATAAAAAAACATAAGGCAACTACTGAGAGGAAAATTGCCTTAAGAAAAAAAGATCCTAGATTACAAAACGATTGCTCTAAAATCTAACTGAACACTCCTGTTTTATCCTTCACCTACTATGATTCCTATAATCTCCTTTTTGATGTTGTAAATAAGTGTGATTGAAACAGCTTCAAGAAACTTGGGAGTAATTTAACCTGCAATTGGAAAGGAATTTATTTGGAAGAAAGTTCAACCAAACAGACTTAATAACAATTGAATTTATTTTCAGTTATGGTTTTGGATATGTGGCTTTTCCACCCTCACCCATTCTCAATTGGGAGCCATCCTGCTCCAAGGAAGATATCCTCCATGGAGCAGGATGGCTCCCAGTTGGAGAAGGGGTGAGGGTGAAGCCGTTTGTACTTGGGGGTTTTAAAGGCCAGTTTGGCAAAAAGTGATAGGTAAGAGAGACATTCTTCAGCCTTTTCTGAATTGTGATTCTACAGAGCTTTCAACTGCTAACAAATATTATTTTGAACAGATAATTTTCTCTACAATCATTTGCTCCCCACAAAAATAAGTGTATAGTTCTCCTGGAATAAAAATTCTCAAGATACCAGTACATGCAAATTCCCCTGACCAGAAAAGTCTCTCCAAGAATTAAGGATTCAACTATATATAAAATGGTTTTAATGGAAAATTCTAATCCATTATAGTTCTGGCTTCCTAACTTATTGTCCTCTAGATATTTTAGATTAATCAAGCATTATAATTATCAAATATATTTAATAATGTGGACTGGGAATTATGAAAGTTCCAATTCTAACTTGTATAGAGAATGCTTGGTACAGGAAGATTGCCCATCTTATGACATTAATTTGAGACATTTTCATTATTGTACCAATTATTTTCTTACCTTATGACAAGTCATTATTTGATAATAATAAAAATTTTGAGTGGATATCAACAATGGAACACACATTATTTTAGACAACCATAAAAAACTCCAAGCAGGCATACATTTAAATATAAGAATTATATAAACATTTAAAGCTATATATATGGGCAATCAGGATGAAAATTAAGGCATATAGATCTTTACATGAATAACCTAGCACTACTTGAAAGCTTACAGCTTCATCTCATACTCACAAATTATATCTTTATGAATGAGAGATGTACACTTATCAGAAGCTTTTTTCCTCAGCCTCTACTAAACCTCTACTGACTATGTAAGAAAGAAAGATCTTTGTAAAAGAGAGAGTTAGAGAGAAATCCATGGAGAGATGCTGTATAAACTTTTGAACCTTAAAAGCCTCTGATTTATGCTGAGTTTTTTTTTCTCAAAAACCTGGAGAAGCCAAGAAATGGGAGCAAAGGACTATGTATTTCAGGAAGATTTCTATTCAATAGAAATAGACAAATCAAAATAAAAAATCCTGTAGGAAGGAATTTTCATCCAGTTTTATTACTGTTTTTCATTTTCTTTACATTTCTGGAAAAATTATAATTGGTCTGAATCTAAATCTTAATATTCTGTGTCATATTTATTTCTCCTCCTCTTTAGAAGGACCAATAATCCAATTGATTATTCAGAAAAGATTACGAAGTTAATTTAACTGGATTGGTGGAACATAGAATTCTCTTGACAAAAAAAGTTAAAGGCTTATTCTGTTGCTTCTGTGAAAATAAGATCCACAAGTGTGTCCCACTGTGCAATCAGCATTTAGTATTTAAATGGAAGCAAACAACACATGCAGAGTTTCACCATGCTATTTTCATGTAAACATATTAACACCTAAAATTATACCTTTCAGAGTGAGGAGTTAGCAGATAAGAGAAGATAAGTGACAACGCATCTCATTATATCATGCAAATGGGAGGATCAATCACTTTGTCGTGATTTGCGATTCAAATCATCATTCATGCCATTCGCCTGATGATAGTATAGTATGTCATAAGCCCTTATAGCAGATGCTAATGCTTGCTTTCCTTCCTTCCTCTTTGCAAAAAAAAGAAAGACTAAAGAAAGTATTTAAGGATTAGAATTTGATAACAATTCTGCTTCCTAAACTATTCATATGGGGCCCTCACTGATCTTCAGCTAGACTTGCAATCAGTTTCCACAAATGACTCTAAACTTTAGAGTCTAAAGGCTTGCAGCCTCAACAATCATCTCTTTCTTATTCAGTTCTGGATCTTCAGGTATGGGGAGATATGTAAACTTCTCATTTCTTTGCTATATCTGCTGAAAGGGATTTATAATGATATTGCTGGATTAAGATAGTCATATTAGGAGAATGAAACTGAGAAAAATATGATGATATGTACAAGAGAAGAGGGAGTTTTACTATTCTTCTGCTTTGGGGAAACAGTGATTCTTGTATGCATTTGAAGAAACTCACCTAAGCAAATTCCCATGTTGGCTTAGAATGTTGATGTGTGTGTGGATGATGCCATCTTGGGAAAAGTTGCATAACTGTGTAGATTGCTAATAAAAGACAACTTTAATGCCTTTGCCACATTCCCAAACTAGTGTATTCCAGAGGTGTTGTAAAGGCCTTTCCTCTCTCACATGTCTGACAGAATGAGGTCACTCTAACTTCAGTTTGAATCTATTTATGTATTGAATTTTGAAATAGGATTTCTTTAAAACCAAAGAATGCTTGGAACAGAAAATGATTAAAAGGTATACCTCTTCGGGCTTGCTGGAGATATTTGGCTAACAGAGCTCCAAGGTTGGCCTTTTGGTCAATGCTGCCATCTACCAACTGGACAGGTTTCCCTGAGGTTGGAATATGGGCATGTCGGTGATTTTCTACCAAACTCTGCTCGAGATTTGTCATTGCATGGTGAGATCCAGATGTTTGCTGTCCCAAGGAGTTCAGGGACAACATAGCCAGGAACAAGAAGATGCAAATCCCACTATACATAGCTAAATAGGAATAAGAAGGAATAGTCATATTCAGATTAATAATTCCCATATGGTTTAGCAGTGTAACATTACACTTCTTTTTTCATAATGTATTTCAATTTTTATGGAATTCTTTGTTCCAATTCCAGATCCACAAATGCAGATGAAAGTCACCAGGTGAAAAATATAGCTCTTATAGAGTTTAATACTTATTTAGATGGTTAATAAGGGATAGTAATTAAAAGTGGAGGCTGGGTTTTAAAAGATATGCCCTAATCATGATTTCACTTTATTATAAATTTTTGAGAGACAGAAATGAAACTTGAATATTAGCTCTTAACTTGATATATTTGTAGGATATACTGTAATATAGCATATAATTCTTAGGTATCAAAATACAATTAATCTCCAGCTAAATGTATATAAGATCAATTATTTAGTAGAAGAATACTTTGTTTACCTTTAAATTATTAAAGATCTTTACATTTTAAGTATTTCACAAGCTTAATACATAATATATCATAATTACATAGATATTCTGTGGTCAGCATTTACTTTTAAGATAAAAAATACAGTGCCAACTTTTTGTTCTAAATTCAATACTCCCATAACTAAACCTTAGAAGTTAAAAATTTGATATTTATTTTAGACTATAATCCAAATATAGAAATGCATAGATATAAATCCAAATGGTGCAATTTAAAGACTAAATAATGAAGGCTTTAATCTATCCACAGACTGAAGAATAACAATTACTCTTGGTGCAAGATGATTTGTATTTGAGCATAGGATTTATTGCACTGAAAAATAAGGTTGCAATCTATTGTTCCTTTAGAATGATAATGAAGTCTTTTCTATCCTGACATATAGAAAGCAATTTCATAACTTCCTCTCCAAAAATCAAATACTGTTGCCCAGAGTAAATGTTATAAACGAGCTATGTACAATTTGGTTAAGAATAAGAGATGCTTGTTAAACAGTCTTCCTCAATTTTGAATACTGCAGAAGATTTCATTTGCAAAACTATGGAAAGAAATTCAGATGGCATAAACTGTATAAAGATGCTAGTCACTCTCTTCTGTTCTATTTTCCCCAGCTAAGAGAGTCTTAGCAAAATCTTCCAATCTTACCTCCAAATCAAGTGCAAGGTAGATGTGCCAGTAAAATGGTCTTCGGAATGTAGCAAAGCCATTCAGAGTTTCTCCTTAAATAGTCTGGTTAAGTACTTCAGAGGCTGTCATTTGTTTGCACAGATCTGACGCAATTAGGGGAGCACCATACATTTTCCTGTGGAATGGAGCAAAGCCATTTGAAGGAGTACTCACTGGGAGATTGAGTGTTGAATGGTGGCAGTGGAGGGATAGAATAGAAAATCTCCAATGGGGAAAAACAATTTCTGCTGTTTAATCACATCCACAGCATTGCTATATTTTTTTAATACTCTCTTCTGCTTCACAGGGACTTTAGAATCAACTCGTGTGTTATGTGAAGGCAACGAAATTCAAACAGGGAATAACTCTGAAGCCCCAGTGACTGAATTTAGCAAAATGTTCTCACAAAACAGACATCAATTTAGACTGCACAGGGCATACATAAGATCTGCATAAATATGATAGAATTAGAATGGTACATCCAAATCCACACAGATTTTCCAAACTGTAATCTTAAACAGTTTCAGTTGAAATAATAACCTACTAGAATCTAGGTTCCCAGAATCTTAGCATCATGCTCTTAACTTAAAAAAACCAATTTCATGAATATGAGGCACTTTTAGTTCATCATGAATGGTTGCTGATAGTGAATTACAGGTAGTCCTTGACTTATGACCACAATTTAGCTCAAAATTTATTAAATTTTACCCCATTTTATGACACAGTTATTAAGTGAATCACTGCAGTTGATAAGTTAATAACCCAGTTAGGTTAATCTGGCTTTCCCGTTGACTTTGTTTATCAGAACATAAACGGTGATCACATGACCTTGGGGGACAGCAAAGATCATCTGAACCAGCTGCCAAGCATCTGAATTTAGATCATGTGATCATGAAGATGTTGCAAAGATCATAATTGCGAAAAATGGTCATGTCACATTTTTCAGTGCTATTGTAACTTTGAATGGTTGTCAACTAAAAGGATACTCCTTTGGTCTTTTTAGCTGTCAGAAAAAGAGAGTGGGGGAAAACAAGTCATTCTTGAAATGCCTAGATAATCACTCCGGCAGCCCAAAGTTGTCGGAGCATAAGAAGGTTATTGGAGAGCATGATGGATGACTCTTGGAGATGGATGTGACCCATTAGAGAAGTCACATCCAGGGGGTGGGGGAAAGACCAGGGTCAAGGGGGAAATGTATGATGTAATTTAGTATTGGCTGCACCCAGCCACGCACCAACATGGCAACTTCTAATAAACCAATTTACTTTTCTCTAAGATGCAGCTAGAGACTTTTGATTTGAATGAGGGTGGATTTGTTGGAACCCTGACAGTGGTCACTAAATGAACTGTTGTAAATAGAGGACTATCTATATTTGATGAATTACCAAACATGGATGTAGTAATACCTGCTTTTTTATGTGGAACAGATCAAGGAATTTATGGACTGAATCTATAGTTAGCTATAACTTAGATATAGACCTACAAATTTCAATTGATTTTGAGTTGAACCTGAATTCTATTCTATATGACCCATCACAAACTAAAGGTTTTGCATTTTGTTGGATGAGAAACTTAAATGCTTTTAGAATAAAATATTGAAACCAGCAGGACAGCCATTTCCCACTCTTAAACATGTAAAGTGAGGGTTAGTATTCTTAGGTGGAAGCAGCAACCATTGAAATCAATAGAAATTTCTAAACAAGATACTATTCTGACCCAGCTTTTGAAATAATCATCAGCCAAAAATCTTTTCTATTTTAAGAATGAATGTTTTAACTTTCAGCCACCCACCCAAAGATGACATCTGTCAATATGCATTTCTTGTGGACAAAAATAAAGCATGAAAATGAGAAAGATGGATCATGTCAAGACACTGATTAGGATAAGACAATATTTTGTAAAATTATAATGATTAGAATCTTGCTCACATAGTTTGTCCTTCTAGATGTGTACCAGACAAGGCACTTGTTAGACTGGGGAACAGTGAAATATATCTGATGAAAACAAGGTTGGCTGTTTTAGCTGACAGTAATAGAAACAAACAATAAACTGGATTCAAGCTGGAAAACGGGTAAAAATGGCATTAGGAAACCAATCTTTTGGATCAGAATGCAATATTCTACTTCTAGGAAGGGCAACCATGAAGGGAAGGGGAATATGAGCAAGACAGTGCTCATATTAAGACAATCAGATCTCTTTTATACTAAGTCATCATTGATAAGTTATTGCTTGGCTGAACTACAGTATTCATCGTACTGTGTGCCATACTAGTTCATACTGATGTCTGTTATAGTGGAAAACATGTGGAGAACACTATTGGGTTGGGGGAGGCTTTATTCCTACTATGCCTCCAGGACCTCAAAGGGGATTTCCACTGTAAGTTGTTGGGGGAATATGGAGAAGTTTCTGTCGGCAAAGTAGGGGCGATATGAGTAGGGGCGATATGATGAATTAAAAGCTCTTTGCTCTTCCTTACGGCAGAGCTCGACAGCCATTCGGTTTCTAGAAATGCGGCAGAGATTTGTGCAACAACTGTGATGCTAAGACTTTTGATCGCGGGAGGCGAGAAGGCGGGTCCTTGGCGGAAATCAGCAAACACAGCCGCTTCAGGCTACAGTCGCCCATTGATCAATGTTGGCGCCGTCCGCCCATTGATCAGAAAGCTAAGCAGGCATCCGTCTGGCTCTCTCCTCCCGAAGAGAACGGACATTGATTTGCTGAGTGGAGTAGAGTCTTTTTCGAGAAGACTATCCTGTGAACTGGAGTTCTGATAGTCGTAATCTACCCATAATGGATGTCGCTATCTTTGCGAAAGTTAATCTAAAGGGAGGGCCATCGCAGTCTTGGTTTCTGGAAGATCGCTTTACCTTCCTCTGGGAAACTCTCAGATGAGCAGACCCGGCTCATCCTGCTGACGCCCATGGAGAGCAAATGATGCCCCCCCCCCCCCCCCACTCGCAGTCTTTGGTTTTCCACTTTTCAGCACAGAGAAGCTTGAAGCGCTCCTTCATAGCAACGAGATAAAGAGGAAGCCGGTGGCGTGAAAGACGCAGCGGTCCTTTTTATTGGGCTTAATTTCAGGAGGAGGGTGATGGACCTAGTCCAGAAGGTTTCCAATCTGTAACTGGCCGGCAGATAGATGTCTAGTTTGTCTCATCCTATAGCCCAACAAGATTAGTATGTGATGGAAACTAAGGAGGTGAAATAGAGGGGATCAGAAATGAACAGAGAAGTTGAGAACAATGACAGCAAACTATTCCAATGAGTTCTATACATTATTGTCATGCTCTTTCTTCTCTCACCCCACTCACCTATCTATGGAGAGAGAGAAGTTAGGCTCAGAATTCATGCACCTCTCCAACAAAACCATTTCCTCTAGTGGTCCCTTGGTTGAATACTTCCACTTAATGAAATTTGATAATGGGCTCCAGTTTTGATAATTCCTCCCAGACTTATTTCTATGTGACTCTTTTTCTTATTATTTCTATTTGATTCTTTTATTGTTTATTATACTTTCTTTTAAAAAAAATCATTTTCATGGGAAAATTAGAGTCTTCTTTATAATCTTCTTTTTCTTCTCATTGTGAGATATAAGAATTAATTAAAACAATATTTGAGTCATTAGACCTTATACATCAAAGTCACCTAGGCAGCAGAATACTGATTTCTTTCCTCACTTGAGCTCTACTTTACTTATGAATTGGTTCAGATTCCACATGAAATAAGACTGAATTTTCTGTAGCTTCAAAAATAATATATAGAATTTAAAGGATTGTTTCAATAAATAATTCACACAGTAAAAAAGAGATAACATTAAAATGTACATACTTTTACATACAAGTGAATTGTTAAAAACACACCTATTGAA